GTTCAAAGTGCAGAGATGTTTGCACACCCTTGCAGGTAAACACAGTCCACGGTAACTAGTTAAGGAACTACCTGGGCTGTGAATCTGTACACGGGGGCTTAGGCAGGAAGAGTAATCGGATACGTGTTAACAGAAAAGGGCAAATCCAGAAGAGTAGTCAGACACGGTTCCAAAAGTCAGGGCAGGCAGCGAACAGGCAATAATGAATAATCCACACGAAAAGGGTCACAAGCCAAGTCAGTCTTAGGAAACAGGATACAAGAAGCAAAGAACTGACAATGTTCTCAGGGAGGGCCAGTGTTTTATGCCTAGCTAATGGGTGAACTTAGATTGACAGGTAGGAGCCACTGGTTATGTCCAGCCCCCCTAGTGCTGCAGGCAATGCCAGGAAAACAAGGTTAGAACCAAAGTTCAGAAGCGGCTCAGAGGCAGGAACTCAAGCTGAGGATGCAGAAGACCTCAGGTTTAAATCTCCTGTTGGGCACTTCTGGGGCGACCACGCCTGGCTGTCTGGATGGCACGGTGAGAACCGTGACACTAAGGGATTAAATGTTATTTGCAATTTCTGAAAATTGTTTTAGATTCTACTCACATTACATTGTTTCATATATGAATATTTGAGGTGAAATGAAAGCCTTGTTTCTCCTGAACAAAATGATATATAAGTATGAGTGTACTTAATATGAAAGAGGTAAATTATGGTTGAACAGACTTATAGTGCAAGTTCCGGTTTTTGTTTTGATTAGAACTTGTACAACAGCCAGTGGGAGAGACCTAATGCGCATGCAGTAAGCATTAAAGGGAAACTTCAGGCACCCAGATCACTTCTGCCCATTGAAATGGTCTGGGTGCCAACTCCAATCATCCTTAACCCTGCAAGTGTAATTATTGCAGTTTTTATAAACTGCAATAATTACCTTGCAGGGTTAAGGCCTCCTCTAGAGCAACTTCCAGGTTCTTAAAACACGAAAAGTGTTTTAAACGATGCTGGACATACTCACGCTACATAAACAAAAACGATGGTGAGAGTGACCAGCTATTTTACAGATTTAAATATAAGTGCAAACTGTATTACCCTATGGTCTTTTTATGCTTTATATCCTTCTAGGTATATACTTTTACCAATATTGGTAACGCTTTCATTTTATTTATTCTATTGTGTGCTCTCACCATCTTATTTGTTTACACTTTGTTTCACCATTTTTGTGTGTTTGAGTGATTCACACAAGGTGATAGTAGCACCTAACATTCACTGGTTCCAACTAACTGTATGATACTCACGCTATGCACGAGGACCTCAATTTGTTATAAAGTGAACGTAATTTGGGTGTTCAGGTCTGCAATGCAAGATTCAAATAAAGGAAAAAAAAGGAGTTAGGAGACCTCTTTGGCAGTGGCTGAGAGGCCTGTTGGGAGACACTATCTTCAGAATTTAGGTGAGGTAGGGTAAGGTGTGGAGGAATGTTTTAGAAATTATTCGACTTTTCCGGCTTTTTGCGGCCAAGAAATTTATCCACATATTTTCCATGATGGTAGAATAATGTGGGGATGGAAGGTCCAATGGACTGGCAAGTCAGGGTTTTCCTTTGTTTGGTTTTTCCCTTAGATTTCCTGAACCCCCAGTTTCCTTGCTCTCTCTATCCCTATATACATAAAATTTAATTATTGTGACGATTAGTGGTTTGTCATGGTTCTGCCTCCCTTGTCTCCTCACTAATGCAGGACAGGGGCAACTGTCACTCTGACACTTCTAGTCATCCAATCTTCTAGCACCACTTCTGCAGTATTACCTGGGAGGCCAGCAGATATACCACCAGTATTTATACCTGTATCAGGCAGGGGGAGTATTCCTTGTTGTGACAACAGTTGGGCAGAGAGCACTGGAAAAAAATAACCAGAAATAAAAAACTAAAATATATGTAGTTGTGTGTAGCTTTGTACCTGCTAAGGTGGTAGTGGGTTGCAGGAGGCCAAGGTGCAACATGGTGTGCCAAATCTCGCTGCAAGACAAGGAATTGTAGCCGGAGCTGTGGTCCAGCATCTAGAGCTGCTCCTGTGCGGTGCGCAAGTCTGGAGTAGGGCACTAGGCTGCAATCATGATGCAGCCAAATTTTCTTAGCTTCACACTAGGTCCCAGCGATTGTCAGGTGCGGTCAACACTAGGCCTAGACCTCCAGTAAGATTAGAGGTCTGATCTCCGGTACCATGAGTTCCCTGTGGGGAGATGAAGCTCCACCAGGGTGTAGGAGTTGAAAGCAAGTAACTAAAGAGTCAGGCATTGGGGAATTTCCCAACAGGCAATGGGAACAAGGACCACAGCTCAAGCAGCAGGAGATGGCCAAAAGCACAGCCACTCAAGATGGTGGTGAAACAAGCAACTTGCTATTTTTTAAAATAATTTTTAAGTAGTTAAGATTCAATGCACAGGGTCACACAGCAACATTATGTACAAACAGGCACACTATATTTGCTCTACAAAATGACGATTGAAAACAATAACACTTGATTAAGCATTCTACTGCAATGTCTTTATAACAATTCATTTTATCTCAAAAAATGAAATTATGATCCTTAATAAACAAAAAATTAAAACTAAACAAATAAAAAAACAGTTGTTATATTGCTACACTATCTGGGAAGCTGATACATGAGACAAGAGAGTAGTAACTTAAAAGGTACACTATAGTCACCAAAACAACTTTAGCTTAATGAAACAGTTTTGGTATATAGACCATGCCCCTGCAGTCTCAGTGCTCAATTAGCTGCCATTTAGGAGTTAAATCACTTTGTTTATGAACCCTAGTCACACCTCCCTGCATGTGATTTGCACAGCCTTCCTAAACACTTCCTGTAGAGAGTCATCTAATGTTTATCTTTCCTTTATTGCAAGTTCTGTTTAATTTAGATTTTCTTATCCCCTGCTATGTTAATAGCTTGCCAGACCCTGCAAGAGCCTCCTGTATGTGATTAAAGTTCAGTTTACAAAGCAAGAGATACAATTGTTTCAGGTAAATTACATCTTGTTGAAAGTGAAACCAGATTTTTCATGCAGGCGGTGTCAATCAGAGCCAGGAGAGGTGTGGCAATGGCTGCAAAAACAGAAACAAAGTGATTTAACTACTAAATGGTAGTGGATTGAGCCTGAGAAGCATTATCTATTCTATACACTAAAACTGCTTCATTAAGCATAAGTGTTCCTTTAACAATTCCTAGGATACAGTAATGTCTCCTGGATCTCATAAATTAAATTGATGCAAAGTACAACTAAAATTAAAAAAATTGCATGACTTGGGTTAAAAAAGAAGTAAGGCAAACTATTGCTTTTTTTGTTGCTACAATGAGATAACAATAGCATTTTTGAGTTTTTCTTGAAATAATAGAGGGATATGTGAAGCATAGCCATTTCCAAATTAGTTTATCGTGTTATTCAGTTGCAAGGATCACTTATTTATTATTCTTCTAACAATCAATTTACTGGTTCCGGACTTAGATCTTCTTTCTTAATCATGGATTCAATATTTTACAAAAAAAAAAAAAGGGAACCTGCAAGGACTAAATATATTATCAATAGTAGCACATGTCCCCAACTTTGAGATTGCACCTTCATATTTTTATGCTAAAAGATCTACGGCAGACTTTGTAAAGAACTTAGCAGAAGGGAAAACTTGGAATGGATGAACCCACTGTAGGAAAACAGTGATCATCTTATATTTAATAATGCTAACATCCTGGAGACATTAAATAATATCCTTATTCCCCCATGTCTTAAAAAAAAAGCTAAAGACAAAAACAGGAATCGGGGGCACACACAGAACAACCATTTAAATAAAATGCGTGCAGAGTGGTCAAATAAATAAAACAGGATTCCAGATCTGTAGCGGAATATATGTTATTGAGTTCCACACCGTAGCATTTGAAATAACCTGGCATAACAATACTCTAGTAACCGCCTTCTTTGCAGGATGAGGTTTCTGATGAGAAACCGCTGAGAACCTAGAGGAGCTTATCCAGTTCATTTATTATTTTTTTTCCCAATACATACTTTTTTTTTTAAATAAAATCAATGGGGAGTTACTGCTTGGCTTAGAGCTCTAGCGGCACTCTGCATTTCCTGTAACTGAGATTCAGAAACTGCAGATCTGGAGATCTGCGCTAAAGGCAAGTTTAGCTGAGCCATCTGAAAACAGTTTAAACCTTTAAGGTAAGAAGGCGTCCAAGGGCCTCCCAGCACCATAACAACTTCATGTATTATCATTTATACAGGGCCAACAGATTCTGTAGCGATTTACAATATTTGGGGAGGAGGAAGGAAATTTAACTATAAAAATAGGATAATTACAAAAAACTTACAGGAACGCTAGGTTGAAGAGGACCCTGCGCAAACAAGCTTACAGTCTATAGGAGGTGGGGTGTAAGACACAAGAGGACAGGATAGAGCAATAGATTAAGTTGTTATGGTGACCGGAGTATCCCTTATGCTTGAAGTAAAACTTTAAAATGGTTTGATTACTTACTCTGGGAGGGCAACAGTGCACTAGGGATTATTGGATTATTTCTTAAACTACCCACTCAGAGGGTGTCAGGATATTAACTAAACTGATCTTAGTAAATCAAATTACATCCAAAAATGGCAAAATTGTGGCAAAAAAATAAATAAAAAAAATATGTTATGTAAAAATGATATATAAGCACAGCTTGGCTAGTTCCTCCATTTGGATTTAATCTGCTAAAATCGTGTTTACTTGGCTGAGTGAACAAAGCTGAGCAGTGGCAATTCCTCTTTAAAAATAAATCAAACCTCAACGTATAACTACATTTGTACTGGTCCTCTCTAATTATCTAATGTATTAGCAGAGGCAGTTTTCATTTCCATAGTTTAGCAGTCCTAATGATAAATAATACGCATTAAAATACCGAGACCCGAAGCCCTCCAGCAGCAGCAGCATGTCCTCACAGCCCTCTGAAAGCGTGCCGAGCTGCGCCTAATTCCCGCCACTTCTCACTCGCTTCGGAATACGTCACAGCTCCAGCTTTTTGTCCCTCTGCAGAGCCCGTCCTGTTGCTGTACACACACTCACACACCAAGCATGGCGTCCTCAATGTCACCGGCGCTCAGACAGGTTCTGAACCTTAGGAAAGCAGCCGTGCCATTACTGCTGCCGACCAGGTAATACATGGACAAGCGAAGGAATGGGTTTTACGAGGGCGTGATGGGAGTCTGCTGCCTCTGAATGACTAGTGCATGCTACATTAATGTGGCTCTGATTTGCAGGTGACTTTGGCAGAGGGAAACAAAAATAACCCAAAAATAATCGGCAGGGACAACTGTTCATGGTAGTAGTTCCCAGTCTGAGAGAGGGTTGGATGGGAAAGGAGAGTCAGGTGTTCAGGCAAAACTTTGGGCGACATAATAGTTTACAGTAAAATATGATGGGGTACTTATTAAAGTTCTGCGCATCTAAACATGATTTTTGTTTTTCCTTGAGATGCTGATTCTTAAGAATTACCATCTTGGACTATATTAATATGAGTGAATATACTCCTTAAAGGGACACTACAGGCAACAAAACAAGATAATTTTAAATTAAGTTGTTATGGTGCCCCGGAGGCACTGTTACCTCAAGGGGTTAAACTGTTCTCGAATGGTTTATCCCCAAAGTTTTCTCCAGAGGCGATGTACACTCCTCCTCCTCCCCTGTCTCTTCTAAAATGTCAGTTTTAGGAAGTGCAGAGGAAGTTGTAAAGATAGGTGAAACACCTAAGAGGGCTCTGTATGCATATTGTCTTAAACCTGATGCTTTATCAACATGAACGTAAGTCACTCTTTACTTGTTTCTTGTGGTTTTTTTCCCTCTGAATTTTAAAAGTTAATATTCTCTTATGTAGCATCCTATTAGCAGAAAAAGATGACACAGTACTCCTAGCATCATTACCACTATAACTGACATTTAGAACCTCCTGGCACCATGACACCTTTATAACAATGACGGTATTGTGACATGACGCCCAAGGCGCCATCTTCAGGGGTTAAAACGTTTGAAGGCGACATCCAATAGGGAGATGGAAATTGAGGTGCAAGCACTGAAAGTATAGTACTCCTGCCGCGGCCCAAGCACTGTCCTTGCAATAGCAGCTCTGCTGCTTCCCTGCAGGTGGGCTATACTTCAAAATAAACTGCCTGCCAAGCACCCTACACTGTTTGTCCTTGGTGTCAGGTGATAACTTTTTCACATCCCTGCCCAATCACTCTGCCCACCAACATACTAATTTTAGTCTGTTTTATGAATGGGGTGCTAGTGATGGGCTGTGAGCTTACCAACAAAGGAAGTTTCTGGTAAGAATGATTGGTGCGTCTGCCTAGAACCTTTGGCGTAGAAATGGATATTTAATAAACTCTGAATTTACATGAACTAAATCCAAATTTAAAAACTGAACTGGAACACAACCTTTTGCCTCAGTTTTTCAATTTAGATTTGCTGTGTAAAAATTTGGATTTTAATGAATAAAACTGAGTGTTTCACCCTCTGCCACACCCTCCCCTGCCCCCACAACAATGTGTGTGTGTGTGTGTATATAGGCTGTGTGTGATGCTTGCTGGCTGTGTTATGCCTCCCTACTGCCTCTGCAGGAAGGGGGCTATGGTGTCTAGTGGAACTTGGGGGAACAAAAAGGTGCCTAGTAGGGGTTTAAAAAGTGCCTTCTGGTCCAGTTGGTGCAGACCACAGTTATCGCTCCCTCATAGTCTTGCGCTCAGTCAGAGTGCATGCTGGGTATGACAGTGGGTGTGCTGTGACTCACAGGTGAGCACTAAACCACGAGAGAGCAATTACTGTGGTCACACCTGCCCTTCCAGCCCTGGTTCTGATCCTCCATGTCCCTTGTAACAGCCCTGCTTTTTGCGAACAACACGGCTAAAGGCAGGAAAAAAAAAACAGCCTGCCCAAAACTTTTACTCGGGCAATAGGAATTCTACAACCCTGAGGTTAATGTTGATTAAGAATATCCACATTTCTCTTCCAAGGCCCCACAGTGTTAGCAATGTCAGCAGGGGAAGTGGGGGGTCTTTGTGGCAAAAAGAAAGACTCCAAAAGTAAGTTTTGCTTTAATAAAAGCCAGAGTACCCAGGATGTTGGCTTTTTAAAGGCTACTATTATTATGTTATTATTTATATAGCGCAAACCAATTCTGCAGCGCTTTACAGTGGGTGGACGAACAAACATGTAGTTGTAACCGGGCAAGTTGGACACACAGGAACAGAGGGATTGAGGGCCCTGCTCAATGAGTTTACATGCTAGAGGGAGTGGGGTATAGTTGCATCAGTCGGGAGCTATTAACTGTTTAATTGATACGCTTTTATGAAGAAGTGGGTTTTTAATTTTATTTTTTTGAAGGCGTGGAGACTGGGTGAGCCTCTAATGGAGGAGGGAAGTGAGTTCCACAGGAATGGTGCAGCCCTCGAGAAGTCTTGAAGGCGAACATCAGAGGTGGGAGTATGGACACAAGATAGACGTAAGTCTTCAGAGCTTAGGGGCCTAGACGGGACATACTTGTGTATTAGGGAGGATAGATAGGTGGGGTCGGATGCGCGCAATGTTTTAGAGATGGATGCAGCAGGATTTGGCGATAGACTGAACGTGAGGCGTGAAGAAGAGGTCGGAGTCAAAGAGAACACCTAGCCAGCCAGCCTGCGTGGTGGAGCTGATGGTAGCACTATTGACTTGGAGGGAGACAGACACAGGAGTAGCAACAATTGAGGGAGGAAAGACCCAGAATTTCAGATTTGATCAAGTTTAAGGAAGGGGGTTTGATGCCCGTTGCCTTGGAGTTGTATTTAAGGTAAATCAGCCTAATGTTACAGACTTCTGACAATGTGGACTTGGCTGTTGTTAAATGCCTCTTATGTAAGGCATCTGGCAGTATTCTAACTGAGGCAACCCAGACATCCAATCACTTTGATGGGCTTTTACAGAGCTCAAATGCCTCAGTCTATTCTGCAGACATGGAGCCTCTGTACATGCCAGAAACCGCATTTACCAGGCTATTGTTACATGTCTAAAAAGTGAGGCAATTTAGCAATAATCATTGTTTAGCTTCCACTATTGATGTGGGAAGCAGTCACACTTATAGGGAAAGATTGTAGTAAAAACAACCCCTTTTCTAAACATAACATAGACCTTCCATACTCTTACAACAGTATTGCTTACAGCTTCAGGCAGACCTGCTCTTACAAGGAAGAGACTCTATGAATCAGGAGGTTTTTTTTTTTTGGTTTTTTTTTAATCTAGTCTGTGGTGTCTTATCTGTCCAGCATGAATTAATGAGATGGGTAGCAGCATTTTCACTGAACATATAGGATAAATAGAACTGCTCTCTGAACTGATACCAGTTGTACCATGGATGCTATCATGTTATATGCAGCCTAATTCATAGTTTTCAAAATTCAGTGTCCTGCAGGTGGCAGAGCCGCTGTCTTATGGTCACAGCTGCAGCTCTGTTCTGCTTTCATTAGGAGAGAGAGAGCAAGTCAGTTTCTGTTTGTGGATTGTGCATGCCAGTTTGTCAAAATATATATCTAAAATGCTTGCTTATAATCCTATAACCTCAGCTCAACATTTCCACACACCCCCTCTAGCCATTGGCGAATGAAAATGTGTCACCCCTCTTTACTGTGCTTGGACCCTTGAGACTTGCAGTGGCAAGTAGCATTTGTCTAATGCACATCAGAATTAAAATACTAACATTGAAAATGAAATGATGTGTTCTGCAAAAATGTCTCTAAAACCAAACCAAAAAAACCCCTCAAAGCATAAGCAGTTAGCTTAAAAAAAAACAAAAAAAAAACACAAACCTTGGTATATGTTAATTGCACTCGACTTGTTAAAGGAACACTGCAAACACCATTACCTTACACCTGGACATGCAGTTCCTGGTGTCAGGCAGGACAGGGAAAGCTCTATCAGCGGCAAGCTGCTGTTCACAGTGTAGTGTGAGGAGTGACAGCAGCTTCTCCTCACGACGCACAGGGCTAAAGGCCGTCAGGATACAGCATGATGTCATATCCCAACAGTTGACCTGGCAGAGAAAGCATGGGACAGCCTGGAACCCACTACAGAGCATCCAAGCAATTGCTCGTAGTTTGTTCTGTGTGTGAAAATATGTAATTTGTGTGTGAGTGGATATGTGGCAGTGTGTTTGTGTAGGTGTGTATCCTAATCGGAGCCAACACACACCAAACATGCAGAAATTACATTAAGGCTGCATACACCACGTTTGCAAAACTAAGCACAGTGAGTACTCCATGCACACACATAACACACAGCCACAGCCCACACACACAGAGCATAGTCAGCACACCCCGCAGACACCGAGCATAGTCAGCACACCCCGCAGACACATGACTCATTACGACAAAGGCAAAAGTCTTTGTAATGTAAGATGGTGAGACCGGGTAATTCACAAAACTCTTTTGCTACATAAATGCAAATGGTAAAAATTGAGGCTAAAATAGCCTTATTGTGACTTGAGCGGACAAGTAGATGAAAGATAAGTAGATTTGACTGCTGCATTAGTGCCTTTGACAAGTAGATTTAACCCCTTAAGGACTGGACTGTTTTTGCGATGTTGTACATTTGCGACCAGGCATATTTTTACACTTTTGTGGTGTTTGTGTTTGTCTGTAATTTTCCGCTTTCTCATTTACTGTTCCCATACAAATTATATATTGTTTTTTTCAGGACAAAAGGGGCTTTCTTTACATACCATTATTTATATAATCTCATGTATTTTAATTTAAAAAAAATAAAAAAATATGATGAAAAATTGAAAAAAATACATGTTTTTTGACTTTTACTTGAAAAATCTTTTACTCATCTACAAAAGCGAATGAAAAAAACTGCTAAATAGATTCAAAATTTTGTCCTGAGTTTAAAAATACCCAGTGTTTACGTGCTTTTTTGCTTTTTTTTGCATGTTATAGGGCTATAGGTACAAGTAGGATATTGCGGTTTCAAAACATACATTTTTAAAATTTATCAATAGTGACATTGTAACACTATTATCTGTCATAAATCTCTGAATAACACCCCACATGTACATATTTTTTTTAAAGTAGACAACCCAGGGTATTCAATATGGGGTATGTCCAGTCTTTTTTAGTAGCCACTTAGTCGAAAACACTGGCCAAAGTAAGCATTCATATTTGTTTGTGTGTGAAAAAAGTAAAAAAACTAAATTGAGCGCTAATTTTGGCCAGTGTTTGTGACCAAGTGGTTACTAAAAAAGACTGGACATACCCCATTTGCAATACCTTGGGTTGTCTTCTTTTGCAAATGGTATGCCATCATGGGGGTAATTCTCATTCCTGGGCTACCATACGCTCTCAAAGGCAACGTAACCAACCTGGCCATTTTCAATGTAAAAATATTTGACCCTGTAACTTTCAAAAATACTATAAAACCTGTACATGGGAGGCTACTGTTTTACTCGGGAGACATCGCTGAACGCAAATATTAGTGTTTCAAAACTGGAAAACGTATCACAACAATTATATCATCAGTAAAAGTGCTGTTTGTGTGTGAAAAATGCCAAAAAAGTCACTTTCACTGACAATATCATCGCTGTGATATGTTTTACTGTTTTGAATCACTAATATTTGTGTTCAGCGAAGTCTCCCGAGTAAAACAGTACCCCCCATGTACAGGTTTTAGGGTGTCGTAGAACGTTACAGGGTAAAATACACTGCTAGAAAATTAAATTCTCTGGACTTTCAGCCTGGGTTGGCAGGCAGGTCCCTCAAATTGCAATCAATAAAATTACATAAATACGCACGTAGAATTTAAATATATATGCATATTTATATATTTGAAGTCTACATGTATATTTATATAATTTATGTAAATTTGTAAATGGACATATGTATATTTTGTATTTTTATTTATATATACATAGATATATATACAAATTCATTCTAAGTGTATTTTGATATAAATATATATATATTTTAAAATACAGTTAGAATAAAATTTCATATAGATATAATTCTTTTTTTAAATTTTTATTATTTTAAAAATGTTTAATTTAAATTACTTATTTATATTTTTCATAAAATATATATATATATATATATATATATATAGTTATAATTAAATTACACACGTGTGTGTGTGTGTGTGTGTGTGTGTGTGTGTGTATATATATATATATAATATATATATATAATGTGTGTATTTTTATATAATATAAGTACATATTAATATAAAAATACACTTAGTATGACATTATATATATATATATATATATATATATATATATATATATATATATATATATATATATATATATATATATATATATATATATATAAAACATTTTTTATTAACACTAACTTTATTTTTTTTTATTTTAAATTTTTTTACACTAGCAGGGAGACTGCCTGTCAGCACAGGCATTCCCCCTGCAGGCAGACACATGGACACCTATTGTGACCATGTGATCGCTGTGTTGAACGATCACATGGCCACAGGGGTCCTAATCCAGTGTGGGGAGACTGTCTGGGCTGCAGGCAGTCTCCCCACACCGGGAGCAACGCTGATCGCCGCCGGGGGAACGACGGCGATCAGGTAAGTAACTAGGACCGTCAGCGGTCGGCAATGGGAAAATGCCAATCACGGTCCTGAACCGTCCTCGGTCCTTAAGGGGTTAATTACAAGCATTTTAGCATGAACAGTTTTCTTAAATATTTCATCATGTATTAAAATTATATTTACTGTACACCATATTTTTATTACAACTAATGTATTTTCGTGAAAGCCATTGATGTAAAAAAAAATGTTCTTTTATTTACTTTTCTTAGTTTTGCCCCATGTATTTGGTGTCCCACTTATCTTTATTGCACATGCTGCAACACAGCCATCAGATGTCTTTATCATGCTGTGGAGTATGCAGTATGAATTTTGGTTAGGGATTCTGCACTGCCTTTTTAGAATATCTCTAAGGAAAATGTATGGATGGCACATTTAGTAGAGTTCAGTTCCACACCTTCCCATTTTCCACATCCTTTCTGCAATTATTTTTGTTCTAGTGTTTCATAACTTTGTATCTAGCCATGCAGAAAATACAATTGAACACTTACTTATTTTTTTTTTATTTTTTTTCTGTAACCTCTGATGCCATCATTTTTGGGATCATAGTTTCAAGCTGATTTTTTTTTTTACAGCTTTGTGTTTCTCTGTCTGTTCGTGACAAACTCGCTACTGTACATTCACATAGAGCAGTACACTCTTTGCCACTGGCAGTCGCTCTGTGACAGAGCGCCTGTAGGCTGACATAAAGTGCAGCCTGTTGTGAACAGCTAAATGAGAGTCTGCCAAAAAACTCAGCAGACAGAACTAATTGGGGAGAAAAAGGATTTTTGTGCCCTCATCTCTCCCTCTTCCATTTTTTTTTTCTTCTTCTTCAAGACAGATATTGTTAAAGAAACGTGTTTATGTAAGATTTGTCTGTCTCTGTTTTCTCATTGCATGAATCATTTTTAAATTTAAGTCTTGCACTGCAGGTCACTGAGCACTTCCACATGGAGGTTGGCACAGAACCAAGCTCAAGACACGCACCTCATCACCGTGGATGAAAAATTGGTAAGGTTTTTTTTTTCCCCCTACTTCTTCAAACCTCTTGCAATTGCCTCCAGGCACTCTTAAATTTCAATAGGCATTCATTGTGGTAACCAATACTGCTCTGTCAAATGTAAGCGAATATGGGCTATGCAGTAAAAAAGAGAGTACAATGCAAAAAGTACTCTTTTAGGGTGGGATGAACTGTCTGTCAACAAGTACACAAGCTTCAACAGTCCCATAAAACTATGTTGGCACACTAATTTTGTATACAGCATTATCATCCAACTGAAGCAGATTATGTTGTGTGTTTGGCAATAGTGATTTCTTTATTTGTTGTGTTTATTTTTTCATGTATTGGGATTAGTATGTTTGTTTAAGGACTTACATTTAAATTCATTATTCTCTTTTTGACCTGACAGCAATGTCTTAACACACAACAAAAATGATTTGTGCATTCTTTCAAAAAGAAATCGGTACATGGAAGGTTTGTGAGTAGCTCATTAGACATAAGTCTGCATGTGTGCTATCTTTTTGATTTGCACTGGCAGATCATGAACCTTATTCACCTAGAACCGGGTTCTCCAAACTCTGGATCTCCAAATTCACTGAACTGCAACTCCCATTATTATCTGGCCAGTAATTTCATTTAAAGATTCATGGGAGTTTTAGTTCAGCAACATCTGGAGGGCCAGAGTTTAGAGAACCCGGACTTACAAGCCAATCTCCTAGGGATGTTTAGTTTCTGGGGGAGAGTACTAATTAAGGAAGTAGTAGCAATAAAGAGCAGCCACTATTCTCATCACGTCCGGTACTAAAAGCTTGGGACTGTACATCCAGACATTTTAGTACTATCCTGACTCTGTACTCCTCTACAACTTGTGAGCCAAGTACTGATACACTAAACATATTGGGCATGTCATTATATTGTAATAAAAATGCCTAAAGTGTAGAAACCAACATGGACTACAGTCCCAGTGTCACCCGGTCAATCATATTGCTGGTTCAGCATCATAGTTACATAGACCACTGCATCTGCAGTATCAAAGATTTGCAGTCACTCACATGAAAATTAAAGACCACAGAAAGTGACATTACCGCTTTAATCCCTACTAGCGAAGCTTAAATATGCCACTAGAACTGTTAATCTGTTAAATATTGCATGACAAAAAAAACAAAACAATATCTCAGCTTTCACAGGTAACTCACTGCAGCTGTCTCCTTGAGGGGCGATATTTTGCGAATTCACTGCTGCTCTTCCTCTATTTCTGCCTTTTCTTCAGCTCCTGGTATGTTTATGCCAGGTCTGTGTGTGGTTTTAGAGTTGATTATTATTATTATTAATATTAATAATTATTTATTTATTTATTTTTATGGACTACAAATCTTCGACCCCTTATATTCTATACAGTAGTGGAAAACTTTTGGAAATTCTGCGTTTCCAAGGATTGATGACATGAACATCAGTCTTCACTGCATCAATAACCAAATTATCTAGTAAAATAGGTCTTTTTAAAAAAGGTTTTTCTAAGGTAGAAAGGATAGCAATAACTTGTAGTATACTTATTGCAGCCACTTGTGTATTGCCATGTAATTGGAAATCTCTAGAGATTCCTCAAAGAAAATAAATCATTGCAATGGTATTGAAGAATAGAGGTTTCAAGCTAACTCTACGACAATCATCATCTATATATGCCCAATTGTGACAGGTGTTAGATGACTGGGTTCAAACAATTTAACACACAACAAGTATTATCCATTAATTATTTTAATACCTGGATGTAAGTAAATATAAACTGTTCCTTAAAAAAAAAAAGTATATATTCAACAACTAATTACGTGCACATTCTACACCCTATTTCTTTTCTCTCTTTCTTCCTCTTCCTTTATAACCAGTTTACCCTTTTCCTTATTTTGTCTTCTTTTGTACAAGTTATTTAATGTAGTGTATATTATATGCTATATCAATGTAATATGTATTGTAATATTTAAATTACAAAAGTATTTGAAAGAATAATGCCTTAAAATTGCTTATCCTTAGAAAGTTTATTTCTTGTAGTATGTAATGACCCGCACTGTTGAATAATCTTTATTCTATCAAAAGTTATAGCAAAATAACAGTAAGAAGGAAACACAACTGCCTTATGTAAGCCGAAGTACATGTCCTTAACTCAGAAATGACCAATGGGAATGACTGACTGTTCTGACAGCCAACCAGGTGGTGTTATGACACAGCAGGGAACTAAGAGTTTTCATTTCCACATGTCAGAGCTAATCGGAATCCTATTTGGTTGTGTGAGTGACATAAAACTGACTGCTGACTTTTTTGATTACTGTTGTATTGCTTATGGATGTTTCTATTCCTTCATAACTTGCTAAGATGACATAGTGAAGAGTTGACTGGTCACCTAGAAAGTTATGTAAAACAATAAGTTTGCATGGCGAAGGCTACACTTATGTGGAAGCCATGAGAAAAGTAAGTGGAAATTTAAACATAAGAGATATTACTAAACCGTGCAAGAGTTCTATGCAGATTCAGTCAATTCAAAACCAAACTGGTAAAGACAGGAAAAGATGCACAACCGCACTTAGTAATTGAAAAATTAAAAAAAATTGAGGGCCAACACTATAAGACACAGACTCAGACTTTGAATTCCAAGGAAGAAGCTATTTATATCTCCCAAAGAAAGGAAATAAATTTGAATGGCCTAAAAACATGTTAATTGGTCAGGGGAACTATAGCTCAGAGTCATCTGGAGTGATGAGACCAGAATATCAATACTTTGTACGTAAGCAGAAGAATTGGAGAAGACTTTCTTTCTGATTGTGTTACAGCTACCACAAAGCATCTGGGGTTGTATGACCGCAAAAGATATGGGCAGATTTTGTGATTGATACTTTTTTTTTTTTTTAATCTTTATTTTTATTGTGCATTTAATAACAAGTAAGCTTGCCACGACAGCGATACCAGACATGGCAAAAACAGACAATGTAAAGTAGTATTCAGAGAAGCTGCACATTTTTTTTGTATTATATCAACAGCCTAGTAAGCATAAACGTCAGTAGCTAAGTAGAACGAGACATTATAGAAATCTGGCTACAGTGACTGACCGTGTGGTCAGTTGTATTTTGTGATTGATACATATTTTCCATAATGGAGTCTATATAGGTCAGTAGTATTCGCACCTTGTAATGTTGCAGCTGTGTGCAAATAGTGGTTTCAGGAAATTTATATTACAGTACTAGAATGGCTAGGTAATAGCCCTATCTGTCAGAAAAACCAAGGAAAAAAATACAAATTGATAAGAGCAATCATGCAATCTTAGTTACACATAACACTTGATGAAGATTAACACTTGGCTCACTCCATGGGATGGAGACTTAAGACTGTAATTGCAGCAAAAAGATCAAATATATTTCTCCGTGGTTTTCTTTGCTTTATCGTGGTTTTCTGTGTGTAACACTTTTTTTTTTTTTCTTTTTTTTGTGCTGGGATCAGCATATCCAATATTATAAGCATAACATAAGAGACACTTTGTATTAGAACAATACATAACGATAACAAGAGTATAGACAGTCAGCTTATGCTTGTGAGTTTAACCCTTTAAGGACACATGATGGAAATATTCCGTCATGATTCCCTTTTATTCCAGAAGTTGTGTCCTTAAGGGGTTAAGCACATTTCAGAATTTTGTAATACAAGTTAGGGTTCATACCGGGTCTGGTGTAGGGATTATTGAAGTGGGGTGGTCGTGACCATTCGTTTTAGATTACCCAGGATATGCCAAGCTGGTGCGGAGAGTGTCGGGTTAGAATGTGCCAGCGTGGGGTGGAGGGTGAAGAATAAGTATACGGTGATGCAAGAAGTGAGGCAATACGTGTGCTAGTGGGATGCCAGAGAGATTTGGGCGAGCCATGTGGTGTGCCTGGTGAGCTTGGGTAGAGGAGGAGTCCTTAAGGATGGACACTGCAGTCTGGACGTCTGCGATATCATCCTCTGCGTCTGACACGTTCTTTCACCTGCTGTCTTTCCACTTTGACGAGGGCCACATTAGCCACAAGCAGCTTTTGGATGTCAGCCAGGAGGATTTTCAGATCCCTTTTGGTAATACAGGCTGAGACATCAGAGGACTCTGGAGGTAAGGCTTTGGTTGTCTGCGGGGCCCCTGGGGTATCAGGCTCCCTCCGCTCCGGTATTAACGAGGCGGAATGAGCAGGGGCTCCCCGCGCGACTACTCGGATTGCGCGGGCCCTTTCCACATTTACGCGATATCAATACCTGGGGTTGAGGTGGTAGCCTTTTGTGTGCGGCGACCTATGTTTCGTGTTGCAGTGGTTTGCGCTCCCTGCGGTCCTCCGAACAGGGCCCTCGAGGTTTGGGAGTGGTGAGGCCAGGTAGGTTGCTGTCTTATGGCGCTACGTAGATGGCTTTGATGCTTGAAAGAAAGGCATCTATAGCTCCAGCATGCCTTCTCGAAATATTGGTACAGGTTTTATCTCTGGATGAGCTTTGTGGAGAGCGATATTTAGGTAGATTGAGCAGGCTTTAGGAGAGTTTTGAGGTGGCGTCCATTCGAGTTAACAGGCAAGCTCCGCCCCTCGTGTGTAACGCTTTTAAAAATATTTGTTGCATTAAATTATCTTTCTAGTGATTTATAATGTTTTGGGTATATTATGAGCCATCACACCTGTGAAATATGTATTTCCCCATAGTTTTGCAAAAGTCTGACCAGTAGTGTATTTTAGAGGTTGACTTATCCGGTGAATACAGTCCTAAACTGATATTGCACCTAACATTTTCAGGCATCAACTTACTTGCTGACCTATATGGTACATTTAGTCAAAGGCTATTTTTTGTAATTCCAGTAACGCAGTAATTTGTTTCTCACTGACTCCCTGGCAGAAGGTACATGATGGGAGGGGGGGTGATTCATACATTTTATAATATGCCTATTTGAATTAAACTCCACATGTTGATTTTCCATTTGGGTGGGAGACGACCTAAAATTAAGATTTTCTTCTGTATTAATAGTTTTCTCTTTGTGTAGGTGTGGTATATGTGGGGGGTTTTCCCCATTTTTTTTTTGTTTGTTTGTTTGTTTTCTGTGGAATACATTGTGGCTTGTTTTTCTGTGGGTTTAGAGACTATATGCTAATGAGAATTCCCTTTTATTGGGAGCTGCTGACCTGCAAATATGTCTGATGTTACGAATTCAGTATAGTTTAACAAATGTTAGTTTCCAGGTAACTTTGTAATTTACATTTATTTTATGGTGTGAAGTCTTTAGAGGAGAGCAATACCACTGTGGTTTTTTTCTTTTTTTTTTTTTCTTTTAAACATTTGCTTTTGGAATATGATGCCTACAATGCAATTAGAAATAAAAAAATAGATGACATTCTTGTTCTAATTAGTAGCAGATTAGAATTTTGGCAACTCTTTGTTAAAGAGCTGTGCTATGTGTGGTCTGTTATTTCATATGCAACCTGATATTTATGCTTACTTTACTCCAAGCACAAGTAAGACTTCCCAACTTTCTCTGGTAATGGGTCAAAGAAAATGCATTTTTTTCTGTTCTAAAATGCATTATTAGAACGTTTCTTATATATTTTGTTTTCCTCCTCTCTCCTTATAAAGATTTTCTCATGTATATCATGATCAGGGAATTGGAAGCTATTTTATAATAATCCATACATTATATCAGAAGTGTAAAAATTAACTGTTCTCTATTAACCATTTGTCTTACCATTGCATTAAAAATGCTGTAATTGTCTTGGTCAACAACTCAAATAAGTGTACACTCACCTTTAATCCCACTTTGTGATGGTAATCATTTCTGATAATCTTAGCCAATCCATTTCTTCTCTGTAGAGGATTATGCATCAATCAGCATCCCTTCATAGAGATTGCTTTAAACCAGTGCATTTCCAAGGAGTGAGTTAAGCATTTATACAGTGTTATAACAACGAATATCGGTTTAGCAAAAGCTATAGTACTGTCTGAGTGACAGTCGCTATATATGTCCCTGGTGACAAATGTAAAAACAGCGTTTGGCAGAAAAGGCAGTGTTTACACTTTAGAGACTGCAGTAACAGTCTCTTTGTACCACTACCTTAAATTAACACTCCATTTTTAAAAGTGTGTGTGTTTTGTACACACATGGTTTTACCAGTCCAATAAAATAGGATATAAAACCTGTAATGAGAAAAAAAAAAAACTAATGTAGTAGATCAGTGAGTAAAAGCAATATGGTTGATGTAAGCCACACTCTGATACTACTGAACTTCAGAGGCAGGCTCAGACATTTAGCACTACCTAATGGTAATGCCCACATCTATTCACCCAGCAGTCTCTGGTCACTCGTTTCCTTGTCTTTTTTTAGTCCAAGTATCAATTAAGATGAATATAAGTCTTCATCAAGGTGCTTAAAGGACCACTATAGTGCTCTGAGGGTTCCCCCACCCTCAGGGTCCCCCTCCCGCCGGGCTGGATGGCAAGGAAAGGGATTAAACTTATCTTTTTTTCCACCGCCGGGCGGGGAGCTCTCCTCTCCGCCTCCTATTCGTCTCTTCGGCTGAATGAGCATGCGCGGCAGGAGCTGCGCGCACATTCAGCCAGTCTCATAGGAAAGCATTCATAATGGACGTTGGCGTCTTCTCACTGTGATTTTCACAGTGAGAAGCACGCAAACGCCTTTAGCGGCTGTCAATGAGACAGCCTCTAGAGGTTTTAGAGGCTGGATTAACCCATTTATAAACATAGCAGTTTCTCTGAAACTGCTATGTTTATTAAAAAAAATGGGTTAATCCTAGAGGGACCTGGCACCCAGACCACTTCATTAAGCTGAAGTGGCCTGGGTGCCTAGAATGGTCCTTTAATTACCATTTGGAAAAAATAAACTATTTCTAAAGGTAAATGCACAAAATATACGTGCCACATGTAGTGGACGAAGTGTGTTTAGACAGGGGAGATGTGTGTGTATGTGTGTAGTGGATGCAGTGTGTGTATATAGTGAATGTAGTGTGCGTAAAGTGAATGCAGTGTGTGTGTGTGTGTGTATAATGAATGCAGTGTGTGTGTTTGTGTATATATAATGAATGCAGTGTTTGTGTAGTGTGTGTGTGTGTGTGTGTGTGTGTGTATATATATATATATATATATATATATATATATATATATATATATATATATATATATATATATATATAATGAATGTAGTGTGTGTGTGTGTGTGTATATAATGCAGTTTGTGTAGTGTGTGTGTGTGTGTGTGTGTGTGTGTTTTTTGTTTTTGTGTAGTGTATATAATGAATGCAGTGTGTGTGTGTATATGTTTGTGTAGTGTGTGTGTTTGTGAAGGGATGTAATTTGTTTAAAATGGAGGGGGAGGCGGGGCATTTTTTTATTTTTTATTTTTATATATTTATTTTCCTCCCCTCCCTGCTTGTTACCTGACCAGGGTGGGGGGCTATGGCATTCCCTGGTGGTCCAGTGGCATGTACTGAGCAATGGGGGGCCAGCAAGCTGTTACCTTCCCAGCCGCTCCCTGTGTAAATCTCGCGCTCTGCGGCCGCGGGAATCGCAAGATTTACAAAGGGAGCTGCTGGGAAGGTAAGTAACAGCTTGCTGCCGGCCACTCCAGGACCGCCAGGCTTGTCATGAGCCCGGCGGTCCTAAGAGGTATTATCGGCAATATTGGCCGATATCGATATTGCCGAATAATGGCCGATAATATCGGTAAAACCGATAATCAGTCGAACCCTAATTTTTTTTAAATTACCGTCAGCTTTGTTAGTCGTTGCACCTTCCCCAATAATACACTTCACCGATGTAACTCTACAACTGTGTGATGTCATCCACAAAACTCCACCAATTGTCATCTTTGGTCCTCTTTTAATGTTGTGACGCCGAAATAAACAAGGGTTTATTTTTTGTATCTTCTTATTGAACATACATTTTAAAAGCTTTGATATCCATATATTGCTTCATAATAGCAAAGTAATAGTGGATATCCATATTATATACGTCTATTAAAGCGGCACTGTCATGCCGAACTTACCTTTCCTCAATCTCTTCCTCTTCTCTCCCTCTCTCAGGATCTGTTCATTTCTTCCTGTCTTCTTCAGTTTTCTTTAAAATCATAAGACAAAGTAGGGACCCTTTGCCTTATGGAGGTTTCCTCCGCTTGACCAGCTTTGACCACCGGAGGAGCAAAGTGTGCTTCATTTCTGCTGGTCAGAGCAATCTTCCCACAATTCTCACCTTTCCTCCCTGTTCCCACGATGCTTGAAATCCACCCAATCACAGTGCTCTGTGTCATTTTACACAGCGTGGGAAAATTTCAAAAAACTTTCCCACGTTGTGTAAAATGACACAGAGCACTCTGATTGGGTGGCTTGAAATCCATCCAATCACAGTGCTCTGTGTCATTTTACACAGCGTGGGAAAGTTCTTTGGAATTTTCCCACGCTGTGTAAAATGACAAAGAGCACTCTGATTGGCTTAAACCCACCAGAGTGTTCTTAGCCTAACTGCAGGGCAAGGCTTTATAAGCCTTGCCCCGCCCTGCAGAGCTCAGTCTGCGCGGAGCCCTCCATGGGTGAAGATGGATTAATTTTTTTAGCGTCAGGTTTTTTCTTTTTCGTCTGGATTCATTTTTTATTTTTTTTGCGATCGGGTTTTTTATTTTAAGTTAGACAAGTATGGTGGCTTTTTATTTGGCCTTTTTGGGGGCTGAAAAAAATTATTGGGACCCCTAGTCACCTTGATTGGTGGGGGGGGAGGCTGGAGGGAAGGACAGTAGGTCCCCCTCCCTTATTGTTTTTTTTAGGGCCCCCACCCACCGCTCAGGGGTGGAGGCCAGGTGGGGAGGACAATAGGTCCCCCCCCCTCACCCCACCATTCTTATCTAGGGCACCCACCCACCGCTCAGGGGTGGAGGCCAGGGGGGAGGAAGGACAGTAGGGGATGTTTTTATTTGGGTGGGGGGGGGTGACTAGGGGCTTGGGACCCCTAATCACCTTGATTGGGGGCCCCCTCTCAGGGGTGGGGGCCGGAGGGTAGGACAGTAGGTGTCCCCCCCCCCTTATTGTTTTTTAGGGCCCCCACCCACCGCTCAGGTAATACTATCTCTTGAAGGCGCACCCTTTCTTTCTTGCTATTCTTCTATCACAGTGTTTACATTACAGCCTAGGGATACCTCCACTGGCCACTCCTCAGGTGGCTACTAGAGGTGCTTTCTAGGTCAGTGCTGCACAGTGTTGACCACTAACATTGTGTCCCCACCCTCTGCATGGAGATACTAAACTTTTCTCATAGAGATGCATTGATTCAATATATCTTTAAGCCGTCAGTGAGCAGATCTCTAAAACTGGACCCAGCTAAAGGGGGAGACCTAGGTATTGAGCAATGCCTGAGTCTCTATTCTACCTAGCATCCGCAGGGATATAGCCCTGACTTTGCATGCTGTCATGTAGAAAATATGTAGTAGGCTGTCCTGTGGAAATCCAAATTTTGGTACTGGCTATCAAAGGTTGGTCCTTGTTCAGCCAGACCACGATAATCGATCCTCCAAAATGTGCTTAAGTGGTTTTGTACCATCAAAGTGAAATATAAATGTCTATCTTTCTCAAGACTTGATATTATTGCATGCTGTCATGCGGTGTTAAAGCTTTGCACTGCATGATGACATTGATCATCATGCAATCCTGAAAAGCATTGGCAATACAAATCTAATTTCCTAAGGCTTTAGTGTTCCTGTCCCTAGTTATAGTGGGGAACCATATAAAAAAAAATCTTTTACATTTTTTTTTTTTATTTACGTACCTTTTTCCAGTGCCGAGGCTCCCTCGGCAAAGCTTACCTCTCCTTCTTTTACAATGTCATGAAGGAGGCATGTCTGCCTCAAACTAAGGTCCTATCAAGTGCTCCTCATAGAGTAACTTTGAAGACCTGATGAGCATGCCACGTGTTCTTCCCCATAGGATAGCACTTCCTATAGTGTTTGCAATGTAATGTTCTTGCAGACCCCCATACAATGACAGTCAATATAATAGCCATTGGTAGTGTGTTTAGTCCTTTAATATTTTCCTTAAATGGTTAAAATGACAGGGCCACTGCACCCTGGATACTTCATTGAGATAAAGTGACCTGGGTTAATTTTAGTGGCCATTTAAAAGGTTGAAGGGACACTTTAGTCACCAGAGCAACTACAGCTTAATGTAGTTTTTCTGGTGACTAAGGTCGGTCCCTGCAGGCTTTTTGCAGTGAACACTGTAAACCTCCACTGGCAACTCCTCAGATGGCTACTAGAGGTGCTTCCTGGGGCATGGAGGCACTAAACTTTCCTCATAGAGATGTTATAGCGTCAGGAATACAAGTTTATTCAGTATATGAATATCTATGAATTGCTAATGCAGAATTCCCATTTTGATTCAGAAACCCAGTTGTGATCAAAAAGTTTAAATGGTTTAACCAAGAACTGGGAGATGGCACCAGCAGCTTAATTGTTACACTATTTCAATATGAAGTGGTTATGGTGCCTGGGTGCTCATTTAATATTGGGCTACATAAAGTAATACCAAGTTGCATATGACATTGTTATAACGTGCCAGGGAATGATAATCTATTTTTAAATATCAAACCAGTGATAGTCCTCTACAAAATTCTTCTGCTTTATTAGATTATGATCTTTTCTTTGATCATACATCTTTTTAATTCCAGAGGTGATTAACTGGAAGCCAGGCTGTTGTGGAATTTAGTTTTCATTTTATCCAAACAAAGAATGAATGTGTTGTTGTTGCTGTTTTCCTCCACTGATGAATAACCAGACCACATCACACACCATGACTACTAAAGCAAAACGGATGGGTTAGAATTGCACACCTATTTTCAGAATGTAAGAAAATGCAAAGTGATATGTGTAGTCAGAATTGTTGTGTGGGGAAATTGTTGTGTGGATAGTTAAACCCTTAAAATGCCAGAGGATAGAGTTAGGTGTGCACAATCATTTTTTCGAGAGGGATCCTTCCCCCAACCTTTTCACAACTTTTTTTTTTTTTTTTTTTTTTTTACTCCTGAACCATTTCATACTTTACCATGTTTTCCTCCACAGTCCCATTTTACAGTGGCAGTCCTACCCCAAGTTGCTTATGTGGAAGTTGTCCACTTTCAGTGCCAGTTTGCTGCTCACCTCCCCACCATTCACAAACACGGCTCTGGTTGTAAAGAAATGACCAAGCTATAAAGCGAGAAGCTTATTATGTCTGTCTGACAAAACATTTTTACATTTAATTTATAAATTTTTTATTTTCTTGCACCGGATTGATATGTCACTTGTTCCATGGGTGCAACAAACCTCAGCACAAAAGGCCAATTATCTCTGCACATACAGATTTCTACCACCATGACCACTTCTAAAACTAGAAGTGGTCATGGTAGTTAGAGTAACACTTTAGGAAATAAATTCTAGTAGTTGCCAACTAGGAAATCTTACAACTGCAATTGAACTAAATCATTTTGTTTTAATATGAGTATTCAACTTGAGGGGAGATGAATATTTTCTCAATTTACAGAAAGGAAATCTACAGATTATAACCATGCTGACAGATAAGGAACTATATTTGAGGAAGTCTGACCTTGATAACGTTGACACAACTCACATTTCATTCAAGGCAAGTCCTGTTTAGGGCTGAGGGGAAAAAATAAGGATTGACGAAGGTATTGCATATCATTTTACTTGTATGCTTTGATCAGAAAACTGAGAAATGTTTAACTTTGTAATAGTAAACTAATGTCATACAAGGAATTTCAATATAAAGGCTTTTTTTTTTATTGACATAAACACTAGAAAACTTTCTTTGTGTTCTGCAAAGTTACACATTTTTTTTCCAAGCTATATGACATGTTAAACTTAATGTTTTTAAGTAAACATGATCTACTGTTCTGCATTCCTGGCATCAAATAAACTATCAAATAAACTGCGCTCCGTTCATCAATCAGTGCGAAATTCTCTAATTCTGTCCAAAGCTGTCCCCCAAAATTAGTATTTTATAAAGATCAAAACTTTATGTACTACTCATTTTGACAGTGTTGGAATTTCACTGACATTCAAAACCAGCAAAGAGATAGACAGAGACAAAGTGGGGACTACTTTGTCCCTGTGTATTTCCTAAGCACTAGACACTGGGTTTAGCTGCTGCCATCTAGAAAGGTCCGTCGTCGTCCCCCATCCGTCACCAGTGGCTTCTGTAGGGAATTCTCTCTGTCTATGCGGGAATCCCGTGGGATTCCCCCATGGACCTCAGTACTTTACTCCTGTGCATGCGCAAGAGTGGCTCTGAAGAGGACCGGCCAGAGGAAGATGCCCTTACCTGCGAGGGACAGGTTCTGATAAGTAAATCTCAACTTTACCTGTCCCCTCTGGTCACCGGACCACCAGCGGCAATGTCATTCAGGGGTCTTTGCGAATTCAGTGTCAGTGCCTTTTTAAATGTTGCCCGAGTCTCTACCAGCAGAGACCTAACCATGCTGGCTTGTAGAAGGCATAACATGCCGTCCTGTATTTTTTTTCATTTATTTATTTATCTATTTTTTATCTGCTTATATTAAATACACAGTAATTTTGACTGAAGCCAGCTTCAGGCAGAGCAACAGGAAGTATATCACCGGGTGTTTTCTTATAATGGATCTTAAACACATTTTGCTTATAGTATGCTTGTAGCTACTTTGTTTAATCCACAACCAGGCTGTTGTAGATGGTTACCGGGCTATTTTTACTGTGTGTGTTCTTTCAGTCTTATGTAGGTTGCTTGATTTCCAGCAGTTTTGCTCACTCAGTGTCAGTGGCTGAGTTGTGCATGTATACTGATAGTGAAATGTTGGTGGGTTTGCTATATGTGTATGTTATACTTTTGTGTAATTGTGTATAAACACACACTCGTTCCAGGAATACATGCAAATAAAAATTTGTACACACTAATAACCAAACACACATTATATATATATATATATATATATATATATTTAGAAATGTGTCAATTTCTACTGAAATCTGCTTCTTCGTTTTTTATTTTATTATTTTCACACAAAGCACTTAAGCGTTTCAATAGAAGACGTATTGCCCAATATTGGAAGTTTAAAAAAATCAAGTATTTTTTTGAGAATTGTGTACTCTGATGTGGCCAGAACTGCATAAACAGTGCGATTTAACTCATAAATAGTAGAGCAGATAGCAAGAGTTATCTATATACCAAAAAAAAGATACACAATCATAAAGCTAAACGTATTTTGGTGTTTAGAGTGTTCCTTTAAACACACACTTGTTCCAGAAATAAATGTATATAAAAATTTGTACACACCAATACACAAACACACATATATGTGTGTTCCATACTGCCCTTCAGGGATGCTGTGAGTATTTTCTCCTCTTGTTTCTCTTCAACCGCTATTGGAGGGTGGGTACCTCGGTTGAACTCCATCTAGTTGGGATTAGTAGTTTGGTGGAGGAGCAGTTGGAACAGGAAGTCTGAGTCTAGCATGTCTTTGTTGTGTGTACGGCATTCCAGAAAGGGGATATTTTGCTGCAAGACCACCAGATGTTAAGATCCAAGCCCACCTGTTCCTCTCATCTCTGGCAGGTGTCAGGAGCTTCAGGCAGCATACAATGTATTCTCTCTGGCGTTCTATACCATCCAATCAACAGATTGTAGTTGAGTTCCTGCTTTTTGGAGCACATGGAGCTCTGGTGGGTTAGTATGGGAATTTTTGACCACTGAGAATTCTTAGAGCGTGACACCCGTGGTTCTTTTTCACGTTTTTTTGCGGGTTCATGCCGGTCTGAAAACTGGAGCAACATGTACAGGACCAAGATCCCTTTAGCTAGGTGTTCCCGTGCCCTGCACAGTTCCTTAAACTCCATCAGAGTCCTTTGGAAGAGGTGTCTTCCAAATTGAGAAGTATAATTTGATTTAACCTGGAAGTAGCAGAATCTGTCTAGGGTCATCTGAGTCCCATCTCTGATAGCAGTTTTATGGTGTCTAGAGTGCACCACTGGCGAATGTTAGTCCAGTCCGATTCACCGAATGCCTTGAGATCCTTGGGGCTTGTGACTGCCACACAGACTTGAAGACGGTAGAGTCCATGAGTTGGAAGGACATAAGCAAGCATATCTGGATTGTTTGAAATAAGGTTCATCTTGATGGCATTCATTCTGCCAAACTATGAGACGAATAGACCACCTTGCTATATCAGTTTTCAGCGTTTGTAATAGAAGTGTGAAGTTGTGGGCGTACAATTGGAAGAAGTCAGCGGTAAGCCAAATACCGAGGTATATAAATTTTGGTGTGGCACCAGGTAGACGTGAACTGAGGTTTTAGACGGGTGGCAGCCGCTTCCTCCGCTTCCTATTTTTCAGTGTTCAACTTCAGGTTTGAGATACACCCGTTTTCGGTGAAGGCCCTCAAAAAAGTAGGGAGGGAGACAAAGTGGTTACTGAAGAAAAATAGCATGTCGTCCGTATAAGCATAAGCGGCTATCTTGTGTGTCATTCCTTTTCAGGGTAAATAAACTCAGCTATTACTCCATCCCGTCTGACCGCCCCCAGGAATGGTTCCAGGGAGAGGGCAAACGGGAGGGGCACCCCGCCGTGTCCCGTTCTAGATTGGAAAAGGTGGCGAGAGGACACAGTTTATCCGAATCATGGTGCTCTGAATCGTGTACAACGACTATACCCAAGACATCAGGTGTGAGCCGAAACTCGTTGCTTTCATATATTGCCAATCTACACGGTCGAAAGCTTTCTCCGTGTCGGTGGAGAGGAGGAGGATCTGCTGTTTTGAGTGTTTGGCTGCGTGACTGACGTTCAGTGCCTGTATGGTGTTATCCCTCGCTTCCTTCCCGGGGATAAACCCGACCTGGTCCGGGTCGACCAGGTCCATGAGGACGCCACTGATACGCATAGCTATGATCTTTGTAAAGAGCTTCAGATCTGCATTTAAGAGTGATATGGGCCTATACCTAGCACAGCTGGGTGCATCTTTACCTTCTTTATGGATGACTGCTATAGTCACCAGTAGGGGGTCTCTTGGGAAAACCCCACCATCCAGTAAGAAGTTAATTCCTTTTAGGAGTTGAGGTAGGAGCGTCTACGAACTCTTTGAGGTAGCGCACAGGCAGGCCGTCTCATCCCGGGGTGCTTTGTTGAGTTTGGAGGCCTTCAGGGCTGCTTGAAGTTCCTCTAGCATAATGGGGGCCTCTAATGCTTGAGCCTCGTCTTAGCTTAGGGTCTTGGTCACATGTTGTTGCAGGTAGTCTGACATCTGTGTGGTCCTTTGCTGTACTTCCACAGGGGTGCCTCTCTGGGGTAAATTATATAAGTCAGTGTAGTAATTAAGGAATTCTTTGATTTTAATTGGGGAGTTGGGTTGTCAACTCGTCCTTCGTTTTGATTTTGGTAGTATGGCACATGCGTTGTTGTTTTTTGAGTGTTCTGGCTAAGAGGCAGCCACATTTGTTAGAGTACTCATACAAAAAAATTGTTGTGACTTACGGACCATATGTTTCTGGGACAAGATATCTCTCAAATTCCTTTGAGCGTTCAGAAGGGCTCTGTAGGAGTCATCTGACTGGGAGGATTTATGCATTCCCTCCAACTCAGAAATACGCTGGAGCAGATCAGTCACGTGTCTACATTCCTGCTTCCTCTGCGTACACCTCTTAATGAGCTGTCCCCGGATGACGCATTTATGCACTTCCCGACCGTTTGGGGCGGCATTTCTGTAGTTTAATTTTCTTCAAAGAAGGTGGTTAACGCAGAGCGAAGTTCACTCACAACCAATTCGTTCATCCTCCAGTAGCGTTCCCGGGGTCGGAATTGTGGCGGTAGTCTCTCTGCCGAGACAAGCAGAGGAAGAAACTCTTGGGCTAGGAGAATGTAATTTAATCTGCTGTACCGCTTGTGGACTGTGAAGAAGTAAGAGTAGTCCCTGTCAGTGGGGTGCAGCACTTTCCAACAGTCCATCAGACCCGAGCCCCCTAGTACATCCCTTATGTCCCTCAAGCAGTGGAGAAGTAAAGAGCTAACTCCTCTAGATGTGTCAAGTCGCGGCTCTAAGGCGACATTCAAGTCTCCAGCTGCCACCAATAAGCCTTCTCGGAATAACTCAAGCTCATTCAGCGTCTTCCTCCGGAATCTGTGTTGGGGGCATAGATGCGAGAAGGTATATTTGTTGTCAGCAATGGTGCCTTTTGAGAAACCGGTAGCGAATCTGGAGGTAATTGACTCGCAAAGATGCACAATCATACTGATGCTAGACAAGGATTTATAGGGTCTTTCAGACCTATATGACACAGAATGTTTCTGATCCTTAATAAACTAATAACATACTGGAACAACAGTGGTTGTAAGTTCACATAAACAGCATTCCAGGTTTTATGTATAGTTCTATTATAGCATATTAGGATGTTCCTGAGTAACTTGAAAACAACTAGCGTGTGCCATGCAGGGTTATTATAATTACCAGTAGATGTATTTTAGTTAAAATTTGTGTTTGCTGTCCCCCTTTTCTCTTGACAGTCAGTGTGTCCCCAAAAAGTCCCAGCATATTTCTTTTTACAGGGACTTTTTAGGTTATTTTTGTGTGCAAACTGTTACATTGTAGGTTTCCTGGTTGACCCCATTGCTGATGTAATCTGGCAACCTTGTGAGTAACAAAAAAGCATAAGAAGCCACCAAATTACATTGGTATTATTTAACCAATTACTCTTCCATAGAAATAATGCAATCATTTGAGGAATATGATATACTGTTTTAACCCCTTAGTCCCCACTGACTTGCTATCCAGTCATGCTTATTTGAATCTTTATATATTCTGATGTGACATTGCTCTTTTTTAACATATGATATTGATTTTGTTATGCTAAACCTCAACTGTTTGTCAAGTATTACATACCACTGTCTTTTTAAGTGTGAGCAGATTGCATGTTAAATGATCAAAAAGTGACATGACTGGTGTTGATTTAAAGGGTGCTTATGGAATTAAAGACCGTTCTGATTTCTTAATGAACACACCATTACATTTTAATTCACATATATAGTACAATCCTATAAGTAAAATGTTAAGTCATTGTACAAAAAAAAAATCTGTAGTTAAAGTATTCGTCAAGATGTTTAGAATGTGACTTAAACTCGCACGTTTGGCAGTCAGTCAACACGATGTAGCAGTGCTGCTGATCTGCCACGAGAGGGACATCAAAGGCAGAGGTCCAAATCCTCGGTGGTTATAATGTGCTGCTAAATGACATGTCAGGCTTCCGGCCCCACTGTACATCATGCCCCATTTGATGTAGCTAGCTCACTGAAAAAGACAAATCCATTGCTTGTAATTGCTGACTGGCATATAATGCAAAGGATTAGTGTCGTGTCATTTCACTATAGATGTGTCTAAACCCTGCAATATATTCTGCTATTCACTTTTGCAAAGCTGATTGTCTCTATAAATAACTTTTTATTGGGGCATTTGCAAAGGGTTCAAACTGCTTTTTTTTCCCCTTCATTTTTAGGACATATGTGCAGTGTTAAAACCTAGTATGTGTGGTTTCTTCTTGAAATCTATTGTACAAGATTATGTCTGCAAATAAGTGACAGGTTGTTACATCATTCAGCAGCTATCTTGCCCATGAAGTTTCTATAAAAAGTACAATCATGGTTTGTTCACACTGTTTACAATTTTTTCTTGCATTCTGTTCAATTCTTTTGCATTTGATTGTCAAATACCTCTATGGTTCCCTAAATTCAGGAACAACTGAATAGTGAATAGAAATGAGAGTTGGAGAATTCATGGCAGTAGTATTTCAAATCTATATACCCTCGTCGATCTAAGCAATTTGACACTATTGTGTGTGTGTGTGTATATATATATATATATATATATATATATATATATATATGTATATATATGTATATGTATATGTGTGTGTATATATATATATATATATATATATATATATATATATATATCTCAAATAAACTAAAATATCACATTGACATAATTATTCGGACACTTAAAGGGACACTTTAGGGTCAGAGCACAAACATGCATTCCTGACCCTATAATGTTAAAACCACCATGCTCCTTGCCTCCCTGAATATAGTAAAATATTACTTGTATTTAAGTCTGAAGCTGCTGCCTCTGCCCCTGATCTGTCTGCTTACAGCTGACATCAGAAGTGATGCTTTCCCATAGGATTGGCTGAGACTGTCAAAGAGGCATACCAGGGGCAGAGCCAGCACAAGTTAAACACAACCCTGGTCAATCAGCAAAAGATCAGTGTCTGCATGTAGGGGGTGCAGACTCTGAATTGGCAGCACTGCACAGTGTTCAGAACTGCCCCAGGGAGCACCACTAGCAGCCAGTGGAGTTATCACTAGGCTGTAATATAAATGCTGGATTTTCTCTGAAATGACAGTGTTTACTGCAAAAAGCCTAAAGGGGATGATTTTACTCACCAGAACAAATACAACTAGAAAAGCTAAAAATTTCTGGGGAAATTGTGTGAAGTGTTCTTGCCTCCACCATTAGTCTACAACTGGAGTAAGCGGAGTAACTGGATGGAGTGGCTTGAGTAACTGTTGTGTGGTTGGAGTGGCTGGAGTAACTGTGGAAAGGTTGGAGTGTGGTTCACTCCCTCTAAAGCATGGGCAGAGAAGAGCTTTCAAATTCTTTGAACATTCCACCAATGTGTGAGTTGCAAACAAATGGTCATATTGTGAAAACCATCAGGACTATGGCTTAGCCGTAGACATGTTTAGTGGCAGCAGGGATAGCTGAACGTTTTGATATAAGATTTGTGTAGGTGGGCTTGAAAATGAGGGAGTGGTGGCAGTTTAGAAATCATGTCCTGATTTTTCAGCTTTTGTCAGCTCCCACTCTAGTTTTGAACATTTCGCTATTCGTTCCTATGGGATCAATTTCGCCACAAAAACGACGATATTTTGTGAATTATTTGGCGAAACATTCCACAAAGTAATAGCACACCAATCGGCAATAATCCGCACGTTTCGGTATATTACTGTCTATGTAGTGTAAAAACTGTTCAGGAGGAGGAGTTAGGGTGGTAAATTTGGCTATAATAAGAATAATATATATGCAAGAACACTTAATATATATGAGATAATATTAAGTGGTCTTGCTATGCAAGAACACTTAAGCTGTAGTTGTTCTGGTGACTATAGTGTCACTTTAAAACAATACTTACTTGAAGCACATTTGGCAGAAATTGATATACAATTGTGTCTTCCTTTTATGTATGTCTATATGATCTGAGCAAATATAGCTCTAACGACTTTACATTTCCCCGACCTTTGAACACAAATGGAACGCAAACCCTTCTGGATTTTCAGGACTTGGACCAATATTGCGGACGGAAAAGAACCTTATGTCACGAACGCAGAACGAGACAGGGAGTCTGCATGTAGGCGGAATAACCAACATGTGTGTATGAGGTGCACCACCACCGGTTTGGCAAAGTGCAGCAAAGATTAGAACATTGATGTAGATCAACTGAATTACCCCTGAGGAAGTCCGTGCTATAGGGTTTTATTTCTGTTGCACTTTTTGTTTATTTTAACTGAAGCTCAATTTGGACTGTTAACTCTTTGAGGAACCAACAAAAGAACTCCCAAGAACATTCTAAAGTTAACCCTGATGTCTTTTAATATTGGAAACAGTGAGTGCAATTGTAATTAAAGCTGTTGTTACACCATGCAGTTTTGCACTGTTTGTTGCTTTCTCTGCTTTTGCCTCCTATATATAATCACTAAGCTGAAAAAGAGGAAAGCAATAAGAAGAAAAGTTTTCTTCCCTCTGATTCTCACTCCCCCCCCCATTGATTCAATGCTTTCCTATGGGAAGGTCAAATGCGCATTTGCACCCGCTCTTCAGGGAGAGGGGGGAGGAGGGGCGCTAGAGCTTTATTGAGACCACTAAAACCACTAACGTACTTTCTTTAAAATTAATTATGTATGCTATCTAGCATTGTATAATGAACACTATGTGTTTTTACTTGAGTAAGATACACCTGTTTGTAAAAAAAGATACTCTGAATAGATTTTGAATTGTTGTGTATGACAGAACATCCCACCTCCCCCTTCCAATTGAGCTAATTCAAATATTTACCGCACACAGTACAGGGTTTCCTTGCTTATAAGGATATTTTGGAAAACCGACTGAACCCCATGTTATCAGAGGCAAAATGGTGGAAGGGATTCAAACCTAGCTAGAGAAGCACCCTGTCTACTTGAGTCCTGATGTAGTTCTTCTGGTTTGTTCCAAGAATAATTTGTGTCCCATGTGAAATATACAATGTATGTTTCTCTAAAGTGGCAATGGCCCAGTAAATCGGTTCAAGTCTGAAAACTGAAGTTGTCATGTATTTAATTTTACCCTATAACTGGAAGGACAGAGGCAATTGTCAGAATATAAATCTGGAGGCTTACAGTAGTGGGCCACATAATATCTATGAAATGCATCTCAAACATGAAACCTCTATGAGGAAGAGTTAAATATAGCCAGCGGCAGATCATTTCTGCCAAAAAAAGTCTTGCTTGTGTTTTTTTTTGCATTGCTACGATTGGGGATTCCTTTTTAAACTCTCATTGTATTTTACAAACGTTCAGCTTTAAAACGGTTAATCAATCCTTGCAATATTGCCTTATAAATCATGTAAGGGACCGTGCATTCCTATGTGGCCAGTCACGTCAGTGACATTGTATTAAAGGATCCTTCACATCAGCAGTGTGGATTTACCAGTGATTAGAAATTGTAAGCTATGATGCATGTTAGTTTTGCCAAGTTTTATTTGTAATCCAGTGCAATAGGTTTGTTTGTTTTTATATAGTTTTACAGTATTTGTTTATAAAACCTAGTTGCTTGGATATAGCTCTGCTAAATCGCTCATTACTGTAAAACCCAGCTAAAGCATCACTGATGTCGACTAGACTATGCTAAACAGCTGCACAGTAATCCTTTCATGCACACGTACGCTGAAGCTTTTTTTTTTTTTCCTGATAGCTTGCATTTTTTTTTTGTCACTGGGTGCAATTTGATTCTGTAGCACCTATGCTTCCAGCCAGCACAAGCTTTCAAGTTAGAGCTGAGGTATTAGAGTAAAACAGCTAGTTTTATTAAGTTATATTCAAATATTTATTTAAACACTCAGCTTGCTCATACAGCTTGGTTGTGATTACATGAAGTCAGCTGGCAACTAAGTGCTGTGTCAGTGGGAGTTTGGACTTTGCACTGATTAGTGTACCTTAGAGATGACATCACACCCATTTTTTCCGTGATAGTTGCAAATTTGGACCACAGAAAGTTAATTGTATCTGAAGAAGAGTGTTTTCACTCTTTTTCAGATACAATTAACCTTTTGATTTCCAACAGCTTCTTGTTTTACATTCAGGTGTATGTCAGATATTATTTAATTTTGTTATATATAGATGTTCTTTTTATTTTTTTTTGTTGACACACACATCATTTATTTTAAAAAGAATTGTGCACCTATAAACATTAGTAGTTTTTAATCTGTTGGTGAAAAATGAATCTATATGTCTGTGTTGTTCGTTAATCCAGATCTATTCCAGCCTTTCTCTTCATTGTTTGCTGCAGCCTGCTTCTGTGCGTAATTCTTGTTTGATTAGGCATGCTGTGGGGTAAGCAAGCTCCCACCAAATTTATCTATGCTGTAAGTAATTCAGCGAGTGCAGAAAGGCTATGGGTTTTGTGACTATGTTGGCAGACCAAGTGAAGAAATCCCCAGATCTATTGTCACCTGTAAAGCTTTTACAGCCCTTGTAAACTTCATACTCCCATTTTTTGGCAATTTTATGTGTGATATTTTTTTTTAGAAACAAAGCCTGTACTGGTGGAAGATTAGCACTTGTTTGTTTCTATAAAAAAATTGCATGTGAAGCACTGTCTGCATAAAATGTGCAGTAAATAAGTTAATTCGCTCAATACAGTTATTTTTTTTTTGGGGGGTGGGGGGGGGGTGGTAATGGTATTTTATACACTAATACCTATGTATGTACTTTAACTTTTCCAAACTGTATATCTACACATGATTGTGTCGCTTCACACAAATATATCCATCAGAAACTTGTGGGAATGCTGTGGATCCATATACACAGTGTGTAAGTACCATTTAAATATTATCCTAGGATTAGAGGTTCAATGTCACTAAATTTCAAAAGAGCACACTCAAGCTTGATATAAGAAGTAGGGTTTTAATTCTACATAGCAGTTCTTCATGTACTTGCTATTTTAAGTGGCTTAAAATTAATGTGATCATTACCTGTGTGTGGGTTTTTAACTGGTCATAACGTTTTGGTGGACAAATAT